GTGAACATCCGACAAGCCACAATTGGGCAGCTCGTGTGGATTCAATTCCATTGTATTTTCGGATGGTCCAAGCCTCGTCCCTCGACTGCGTCTCCATCCATAATCTCGAGTACCTTGCATCATTTTATCCTTTGAGGAGCTCCATGGCGCTGGCGCTGCCTGGGAACGTCTCGGGGGAATTTCCGACGGCATCTCGAATCACAGCTTGTGACAATATCCTTCTGGATCCTCGAACGGCTTGTCCGGCTTTTCCGAACACCCCGACTTCGCTGAACGCTCTCGCCTTCGATGAAGCCAACAAGAATGAGATACACTGGGGAATACCGATCTGAAGAACGCCGAATTGAATCGATCGCGATCCCGCATTCCCAAAAAAACAACATTCGCCGGAGTCGTGCTCGACGTTCCGCGATGGCGCCGCTCGAAGTGAAGGATATTCCTCCGGAAACAAGGATTGTATGGTTGACCCCATCGATGGCATCAACTGCCCCTACGATATTAATCAGCGACGGTTCCCAGGAGGGTATAAGCAGAGAGAAATTCATCTGTTGCGAGCGAATCCAGTTAGTTAGCGGGCAGAAACCGCCAGAACGGAAACAACTAGTCGTAGTCTTTCTCCTTTACGCGGAAAGGGCACTCCCCGAATTTCGTTAAAACACGCTTCCAACGTCATCACACGATCTCACCTTTGAAGCGGAATGAAGCCGAATCGGTATTCGAAGATGCTCCATAAGGGATTCGACATCGATTCTTTACATTCCTGAGCGGCGGTTTTCGAACTTCTTCAATCAGCGGCGGCTGCTGTGAGCGGTTCGCAAGATTCCGGAGATATGTATTTCTGAAAGTAGCTTCCGCGTGCGCCTGATATCCCCGCTCATGAAATGCACCATTATAGCAAGCAGTTCGATTTTCTCGAGAGAGCATGAGCTCGGAAGAATTCCTGAATGCAAAGATTCTCGGCCAGTTCGCGACTTGTTCAGAAACTGACAAAATTTTCGTAGGAGCTTCCGACTGGGAGCTCTTCTGCGATAGGAAGCAACGGAGCATCTCTGCAGGACCGCCACTCGAGAGGAAATCGAGCCAAACTCCGTATTCCTGAAAATACAACATTGAATCGACGGAGCATCCAACAGACGATCTACGCGGCCACTGGAGATGCCCGTCGACGATTGCGCGCCCCGCTTCCCCAAGGGACCAGCGGACAAAACGGGGAGGGATACACCGAGAAGATAGCATCAGGATAAGGAGCGATTCAATCTCGAATTCGAGTGGATGCTCAGCCCTAGGGACAATCTGACCCAGGAACAGAGGCTATAGATCGCGATCGGATTCGACGGAGGCGACGCGCCGTGGTCTCATAATACGCTTCGACGTTGCTGGCACTGCGTTACAGGTCGCGGAACTCAAACTCCCTCGAGCTCCACTTTTAGTCGAGTTCGACCTCTGTGCGCAAGCCGTGCGCATCGAAATCGTGACCTGGCTTGAGGTATTCGGCTCCGAGGACTCTTTTCTGTTCGGACTCGCGAACCTAATTTCCGAATTTCGACAACGAATTTCTCTCGGTCCTGGTGAAGCCGTTGAGCAGAATGAGAGCCGGCCGCCGAAAATCGTCCGACTGTTTCAAATTACAGCTCCCCGAGCAAGCAAGACGCTCGGGAGCTTCGTTCCGGCACAAGCGGGGACTTATGGAATTTGAGCGTCGTCGGGTTCGTTCGGGACATGACGTTTCCGGCAGGAGCTACCGGATGCGAGTGGGTAGTGCGTCGTAGTTTAACGGCCAAATTTACCGCACGGGGTGAACGTAACGTACGAGGACGCTCGTCCCACGTCCCTCTTCGTCGTAAAATTAATCCCTTGCACGCGTCGCGACCGTCGAAATTATGACTGAAAACTTAGGCGAGACGACTTTACCGATGAAGGATTTTAGGCTGCTGACCGACTTGTCCTGGGGGTCTGCGGCGGTCGATCGAATGAGTCTGGTCGAACGCGGAGTGACAGCTCTCTGCTATGACCTATGATATTTTTATTTTTTTGAATGATAGAGGATGGGATGAAGCGAACGATTCTGCTCGAATCATTCTGAAAGTTGAAGTGATATTCGAAGCCGATATTCGATGAACATGAGTCTATGAGGCCCCGTCTACAGATCCAGGCCGACGCGTACTTATCCATGAAGGGCAGCAGAACGAGATTTTCTCCTCAACGACAGAGGCTTTTGAGGCACTTGGTGCGCTTAGGACATCGAGAACAAGGTTTTCCTCTCGTGTAGAGATTTTGATGCCATACGTTGCCGGAGGGTCCGTAGTTACAAGTATAGAGACGAACGTATCGGTTCCCTTCCGTATACGACGAGTATCCGCACCCGATCAAGTAGGTCTTCGCCCAGACCGCTTGCGTGAAATGGGCGTAGTTCCCTCTGAAAGCGAATGAGTCGACGACATTTGGCGGAGTGAGCTTGAACTCGTCAAACCACGAGTCCATGGCCGAGGTCCAGTTACCCACAACGTCATTCTTCGCGATCGTCCAAGCACTGTACAAGTTTTGACCTGGAAGAGAGGATCGAGTGAGAAGGACGCGCTACACTTCGTGAGGGAACCGCACCAATCCGGGGAAGATGGGAAGAGGAGAAACGGGAAGAAATGACCTGAGTCCAGCCGAGAGAATTTCAAGACTTTGCCAGGTACGGCACCCAGCGGAGCTAAGGTGCTCATCGCACCTCTTTTAAAAATCCTCTCAAGGACGATATGCGATCCACTCAACGAGTTTCCGACCAGCTCGGGGTTTATTTATAGCGACGGCGAGCGCTCAATTCGCAATGATCCTTAAACACCGAGCCGGAACTCGGGTCCCATTAGAGCAACGAATGAGACATCCTGCTAATTTTAGTTACGCGACCTGGTCGGTCACACCGTCAACATCGATCTCGAACGTTGCGGGCCGAATGTGCAATTTGAGCTTCGGTCAGCAGATGTGCGGAACCGATTCCGAATTTCCGAAGGATTTGTGAGTTCCTCCAGTTGCGAATCGCAACGGCATAAGTCGCAGTAGCTAAGACAAGTATCCGAAGGATGTCGGCGCAGCGTAATTCATGAGTGTATGTATGAGGTTGTCGATCGCGCTCAGCGTGAACTAACCTGTGGAGAATCGGGGAAGTTTTCGGCACTTCTGGCAGTCGTGCTCGAATTTGCATTGCGATGCGTGAGCCTGGGCCGTCTTGGCTAGTTCTGAATCCCATTCTAGGTACCTGCGGAGAAGGAACACAGTGTATTTTTCTCTTCCGGATCCAACATCATCGAACAGTACCACGTCTCGGTAAAGCCAGCTACGTGTAATTCTGGTCGGTCATCCACTGAGCCTCGGTCCAGATAGATAGAACTCAGCGTGAGCCGACTCCTCTAAGCTGCTCGGTATTGGGGGCAAGCGCCGCTCGGTAATGCGGGCAAACGCTGCTCGCTCAGGCAGGAGATTAGCTTGCGAATCGGCATCGATTCGAAAAAGAATGGATCTGCCGCCATGGATCAAGCGACCAAGCAAAGCTGTCGTTCGCTCAAAGAGATGTACTATTCGGTACTGCTTGCCATGAGTTCAGCTCCGGGCCGAGCACCGAGTCATTGCACGTCCCCGTCGCCTCAAGCACTCGGAAATAATTTCCGATTCGAGATTCCCGGTGCATCACAGCGATCGCAGACAATGATGACGCAGCCTGAGGGAAGCGAGATTCTCTCAGGAGACACACTACTTGACTTTGTACCATGTGCAAGCTCCGAAGCGACAGGATGGTTGACCACAGCAGAATGGAAGAGGGTGTGGAAAATGGACCGGATGCTCTGTGCAAAGGACGCTGTTGGACATACCTGATATCAGCACCTTGAGGGAAATTGGGAATTCTGCCTTGGGCTAACTTCGAACGCCACTCGTTGTGATAGCGGACAATGTATTTCTGTTCGTCACTGCTGACGCCGGTCTTCAGAGGTCTGCAACTGCTGCGGACACAGAGTGTATGCTTGCTCGAAAACTTCAGGTAGGGGCAAGCGTAGACGCTCGCGGCAAACAGGAGAAAATGCCACATTCTCCACAGCACGGACGAGCGTTGAATGAGAATCCTAATGGCTGCGCGGGACCTTTAATAGCGAGTGGGTTTCCACCTGGCCGCTCTCGGTTTCGCAGTTCTCCGCCTGGTTCAATGGAATGCTGTCGAATGTCGTCTGGTAGGCCGACCAGCCGGCTGGATGGGTTTGCAGGCGAAGCGGCTCCTGCTTATGCTGCCGAGAACCTCAACGTTGATGTTTTAGTCTTCGCCGATCTCTCAATGCGCTGTCGTCATCGAATCACATGCCTAGCTGAGCATGGGGCGGGCTTGCGATCCGATACCCGATGCTTGTGCCGTGTTTTCTGCCGTATGATCTGACGCTTCTTCCGAAGTGTTCAGGATGATTCGTTCCGCCCGATCGCGATTTGGACCAAATCACATATCTGTCACGAAAGGGTTGTACAATAAAGCATTCCCTCGACTGCCGGACTCCTGGAGATACGAGGATACGTTTCTGCCCACGCCCATATAATTCCTTGCAAGACATTCTCATGATGTAATTTAGCATTCATGATAAGAACCTGGAGCTCACCGTGAATTCCTCGGAATGGAGTTAGGGTCTGTTGCTCGAAAAGCTCGGCGAAACTTCAGTGGCCATCTCGTCGATAAATGGAACCGAGCTGAAAATGCGGCAAGAAGACCTCATCTCTCCTTGAAGGCGGATGAGCTTGATCTTGCGTCGAGAAAGTCTTTCAATAGATAAAATCAGAGAGCTTCGTGTTTTTTTCCTTCCTCGGAGCTTGTGCTCCCCTCCATAGCGATACCGACAGAGGAGGAGGATTCGGCTGCGTGGGCCGGATGCGCTGCTGCTCGTGAGCCCGGCTATAGTAATTCGTGCAGCGACTCTGGATCAGAGTCGTGATGTGTTTCATAACACACTTCATTAATGGATCAATTCTTCTTTTCCCAGGAGTGGTCGCATACGCGGTGAGCGCGGACAATTACGGCCGATCAACATTAAGCCAACGGACACCGAACCCGAGCGCTAACGTCCGGCATCGAGCGCCTTTCAAAGACACTCATGACTCGCCTTCTTCAAACGCGAAAGGCTATCCGGCAGAAAATCGAATGGACGCATTCGAAACCAAGAGCGCGTCCAACAATGTTCCGGTGAGAGTTCACACCATTCCCTAACTATTAATATATCCGGGTCATGCGCGGCCTCGTGAAGTGAATGCCAAACCCCGGTCATAGATTCCCCCGACGAACTTATTCCGACGATTAATCTCCTGACTTCTGCACTCTGCTTAATAGTCGCTTTGATTGATAGAGAAAGAATTTTCCAGAGCAGAAGTCGCTCCGCCTCGGTTCGCATTTATTTCGAGGGGTGGGATTGACTTATGAGTCCTTAGCAGCCGCACTATTGTGGTTCGGGAAGAATTGTTCTCTGTCATGCTGGATGTCACGTTCGTCGTGGTCCGGAGCCAACGACCTGCCTCGTGAGCAATAAGCAAAAATTCTGATGCGGGTCGACTTCATCAAATCTCAATCCAAACATTTCTTCAGGTGAAACGTTTGCCTCCGCTCCGAGCCGACTTCGACAAAGAGCCGGAGCTCAATTCTCTGAACTCGCATCCTCCACCGATCGAAGTTCCTGATGATCGGCACCGTCTCCATCAAAACACCAGAATCCACCACACAGACACGCACAGGGAGCCGACCCTGCCCAACAAGGTCTATTTCGACCGGGAACAGCTGGGCGAACCCTTGAGACACGGTGAGCAGCATGTCTCCGCAGGGGAGCGGATTCTTGCGTCGGCCGCTATCGCGCACCCTGTGAGGCCAGAGAACCCGAGAGCCCAAAAGGTCACGCGCTAAGCCACTGATTACTCGGGAATAAAACTCTCCGTCTATGGAGGATACAGAATACATATTTCCGCCGATTCGACGCGGCTGCTCCCAGACAGAATCCTCCGACCATGATTTCAGCCGCAAAATTAATTAAGAACATGCAGATAGCTAAATGATAGCAGCTACGCAGGCGGTCCCGGCATATTCGCTGCCCGAATAAAAAACGAACATTCTCATGAAGAATGAATAGTAATCCCCAAGTGCATTCTTCCGCAGGCGACGGCACTCCTGAAAGTACATTTGCCCGACGACCGAGTCAGGCAGATCCGCCCTATGCGCAACGGGTTCAGCCCCCACTTCTTTCTCCACCACCTCCGCCTCCAAGTGAACCTGTCATATTTCACTCTGTCAGCATGGCATCTCCCTCAATGAATCCCGTGCAGGCCGTTCCCGTCCAGCTCAAGCCCCATCGAAAGCCGATCCAGATCATGACCCCGGGCGACATGAAGCCGCCGCCTCCTGTGCTCGCCACCAAAACAAACCAGTTAGAACCTACGGATAGCGAGTTCAACGGTGCTGCCCTTCCGAACGGCATGCGCGAGCAGCAAATCACCGTCGTGGACAGCGTCACAAACAAAGCTTACGTGATTCATTTCCTCGTTGGCGATAACGACCGAAATCCAGGTAGGAGCGCGTGCAACTCATTAGAGCTTGAAGCTGTCCCTTCTATGCTAGCGACAGAGAGTGGCCATGGAACCATGGGCGACGTGCCAGCGTCCCGCCCATTCGTCAGCTCGAGTCGGAGTTTAATGATAAAATTCGAAAATTGTGACCGAGCTTTCGGAACAGGGCGGGTCTACCGCCGATATGATTTCGAATTAGGGATTCCGCTCTTATTGGGGTTGGGGTCCGGCGCGAATGCAAAAAGCGGGCGGATAGCTGGTTTCGGGAGAGCAGGTACCGGTTTCTAGAAAGCAATTCTTATCTGAGAGGAAGCATTTCTAATTCCATAGACGGTTCCATTGCTGGGTTCGACCCCACGTCACCGGCATTCCAGCAATACATCAGGGAAATAATTCGTCAACAGGATCAGCAAGCGGAGCGTCAGGGTGAGTTTTTGAAACTCAAAAGGTACCGAGGCTGTTCGTTGAAATTGCGGCCGTTGTATTCATTTCCGACTCTCATTGCAGTTGTTGTATTGCCGGACCTGACTGCGGCTGCCTCTGAGGCTCCCCCACCCGCTTCATCTCAGACCAGCGCCTCGTATTATCCCACGTTAACTCCAACAACGGCACCGACATCGACGACGACGTCAACAACAACAACAACGAGAGCTCCAACCACGCCGCGAATAAGTACGACGAGAGCTCCGAGGAGAACTACAACGACACGTAGGACCACGACGACGACGACGACGTCTGCAGAACCTTCCACGACTTCACCACGGGTAAGCAGCCCGTTCCCCGATGAAAGAAAGCACATGATGGGAAATTGATGATGAAGAAAATTCCTCGCAATGGAAATTAGAATTCCCCCATTCTTTGATCACTTCCCTGGGATCTACGGAACTTGACTTAAAGGTCCTTCGTTCGTTCTTCGGCAGTAGTCAAGCCTCAATCAATATACGAACAGAAGTGCAGATTGCAGACCTAGCGAGTGAAAGTCGACCTCTTTGCTGACGTGAGACATTATCGCGTGTCTAATCACGCTTTGCGTTGACAGAATCTGAGAAAGTTCTATTTTCTACCGACAGCCGAAAGCAGTTCCGACGACCAAGACGATACGCGGAAAGCCCGCAGCGTCCTTCGCCGCACGCAACCCTCAGTCAAGAGTTCCCCCGATCAGACCCCGGGTTCACGCGCGGCTCCAGCCAAAGGTAGATTCAAGACCCGATTCACGCCGTGTCGGACTTTGACATTCACCTTGTTCTCCGGAACGCTTTCTAATTACTCGATTGAGACTCGTCTCGTCTGATTCCGTTGTCGCTCAGGCGGAGTAAGCTCTCCCAGCTGATTGTGAGAAGAGAGGACCAATCCTGCGCTTCCTCCGACGTTGGTCGGAGCAAATCGACCGATTCAAAAGAACTCTGTCGCAGCGAACCCTCGTCGACGGCGAATGTTTAATCGGCCTCGACAGCTGTTTTCATTGTTGCCGCCGTGGAATCGGTTGTCGTGTTTTCCCGGAGTTCCGTTTTTACTCGGCGACTCGATGCATGCGGGTTCGGGTTCTGTGCGTGACAGATCCCGCCGACAAGCAGGTGGAAGCAGATTACTTCCCATGAATGATTTTTCCATATCATTTGCAGAGCCAAACGCCGAGCTCAACGACAACGACGTCGACCACAACTACGACGACTTCAACTACTACACAAATCCCCGAAGGCTCCTTGGAATACGACGATCCCGAGGACGAAGAGGAAATCGATGAATCGTCCGAGCCCGCTACGCCGGAGGACTCGGTCAAGGAGAACCATCTCGCAGCAGCATCGCTGCCCCCGTCGTCGACGGCTCCGCCTCCACCACAACCGCCTCTCAGAATAACTGGAGGTATGTATTTCTCATGGGACCCCGAAGAGTCACATGGCTGCCAACGGAATTCATTCGGGATGTCCTTTTATCGCTCCGTTCCATCCGATAAATCCGTGGTGGGACCTTCGAGTACTGTGCCCACAGAGGACGGGAAAAATGCGAGAATCATGAGACTTATCTGCTCGCGATGAATTCCCGGAAGAGCCAGCGCTCATCTGCTCTGGAAGCGGATGTCTCGCCACTGTTTGTTTCAAAAAAAAATTCGGCGAAACCATTAAGCGACAGTTTTGTGGTGCCCGGCCAGAATGGCCCAACGAATTAGCTGACTAAATATCCCGGTCGACCCCGGCCTTCGCCGCTAGCCATCCCTTTTGTTATGGAGTGGAAGCGTGATCTTTCCGTGGAGAATTTTCCACCCCTCGAAGCAGACCGCAGCTCTCTCAGGTCAATTCATCTGTTCCAGCGAGCACCTCTGCCACTGATTCCCAAACGGTGAAGACCGTGTCCATGGTGGACACCCCCCTGAAAACGTCGCAGCTCCTACAGCCTGCCGCATCGATGGAAGTCCCATCCAGATCTTCATTTGGCGGCCTCGCCGTCATGGATTCCCATCTACCGAACGCGCATGGCAACAACGCAAACGTTCCGACTTCCACGACGACTACGAGAAGACCCTCGGGCCCAAAACCGATTTTTTACAGCGAGGCGAATCGGAGAGACACGAACCTCTCGTCCCAGAATCCATTCCGACCCCCGGCCCCCGGGGACTATCATAGCGCTCAACGTGCCCCCGTGCATCCGCCCACTCAGAGGTAAGGAAAACTTTGGTTTCTCTGATCGTCAGCTCCGATATGGCTTGCTGAATCGCGGATGCATTCAAGGCATGTTGTCGTATCGGAACAAAGACGAAGAACTGACAGCATACATTATACGAACAAAGCGCGTGTATTCATGACCCGCCATGGCGGGAGCCGACATGATACCAGACGATCATAGTCAGCGAGAAATGTATTTGGGTGAAAACTAATGTCGGCGCTGTCGGATGTTCGACTTGTAGGTTCTCGGCCTCGAATCAGCACGCAGTGTTCGCCAACGCGCCCTTCAAACCGCCGAGTCCTCCGATGTTCATGCCCCTGCCAGGGGGTTTCGAGCATCAGTTGATGGGCGCTGAGTCTCATGTGGGTCTCTCTGGAGTCCACGTTCTCCCAGATGGCGGTCTTCTATTGCCTGCACTCGGGCCTCAATATCCGTAAGTTGCTCCGCTCATGAATTCTTGACGAAGGGATATTTCTAGGTTGGAAAAGAACGTTCCCTCGACTCGCTTGAGGCTTGTTCCCGATATTCATCCGGAATGATAAAATAGGTTTCGCTTCTGCACATTTCACAAAATTCGAGGAAAAATTTCGAATGACCCGGTCGGAATTCCCGATAAATAATTCTAGCTGCCCGTCTGACTAAACTCCAATTAATTTGAATTTTAAATGACTCCGAGGAATGTGGTGGCAACACCCCGAGGAAAATGAGCAGTCACCCTGAGTACATTTCAATCGTTTTCTTTATGCATAGAAAAAGGCGGAAATTGTCGCACAATTAAAGCGTCCGACAAAATGACAAAGCATACTGGCCTAAAGATCCCACTACGAGCCACCAGGTAAGCTCTGTCCCAACGGGGTCTCACAACCCCTTGGAAATATGGTGGCAGCCCGTTCAGTGTCGGTCGCTTCGGTTATTTGGAAGAGGGTTGGTTCATTTCTGACAGGCACGGCTGGAGTGCGCAGAAATCTCGTTAAATGTTCGTCTTCATCGTCGTCCTGATCAATTGCTAAACTGATCAGTGCCCCTAATTCTTTTCTGTAAATTAGTGTTTGTACTCTCTTGATGGTAGTTGTTCATATATCTTTCCTATCACCATTACTCTGTAACTCTACATGGAACGTCGGCTCCACCAGCTTCGAGTATTCGTTCGAATGCTCAAGAAAATTCGAAGCTCGTGGATAGGGGAATCACAGGCCGGGGCTCGGAATTACGCTCCCGTCAGAGGCCGCATCGGTATTTCGCGAGGGAAGGAAGTGGAATTATCGCTTGCGTTCGGCACAAAAATCGTGTTATACAAATAACTCGAGTAATGCACAAAACTTCCCTATTCTTCGATGCCACATTCGCTTGTCTTTTGTTCTCCTGATTCTACTTTCAAGATCTAGGATTGTTAAATTCATCCCTTAAACTCGGTTGAGCTTCATCTGAAGGAGGAAGTCGCGGTGATCTACGCGCCGGGGAGTTTCGTGCGCCCAGCGCCACGGTAGAGTGTAGTGTGTTTTCCGCTGCGAGCAAGGAGCATGAGATGGTAGACATAGTCGAGCTCTAATATGCGCACAGCTGGCCGTCATCCAATAACTGATTAATATGTGGCTTTGACCTGTGTCCTCGACTCTGTGTCCTCTTCCGATTCCTCACAGTCAAATTGACCATTCCAGACCAACGATTCCGATTCCTCCTCCAACATCCAAACCCTCGAAAGCCCATCGTCAGCGTCCGTCGTCGAAAAGCAAGTCTAAATCGAAACGGAAGAAGCAGAAGAAAGATCAACGATTCGGGATCGAGCTTGGTGGATCGCATGATGACGATGACGGCGGCGGTATAACACTTTCGATAGGTGAGGATTACGCACCAACACTCCGACAGCGTACCCGACGGAAACGTCCGTCGTCCGAACACGACGAAAGTGAATGGATCAGAATTTGGAAGAAGTCCTCTAGAACCTACGAGACTCTTCGCATTTTTCACTCACTAGGGTCTTGTTTCTTGCAGGAGGCGGTGGATCCGATCGGAGACACGTATCACCATTGTCAATCGCTAAGCACATATTCCTCCCGTTCCTTCCGCGGCCAAAAGTGAACCTAAACAAACGGGTGGTTTTCGGTGTAGTTCTCGAAAACGCCACAAAACTCAGTCATAAAAAATCTCACCGCACCGGCGAACCTGAAGCGGTGGCCGACATCAGTCTGAATGGTCACGCAATACATGATCATTCTTAGACTCGCCTAAGCTGTGATTGTCATTGGTTCATCGTTATTCATTGATTCATTCTGTCGACGAAAGGAACGGGGCCAACAAATCAGCACAACTTTCGTCTAATTCTCGTGTCAAGACGCGTCGCGTGATTCGGTGGCTTCCCTTGAGGAGCTTGACGCCACAGAAGAGGACACGAAGTGAAAGCAATCGTCAGCTCAAGGAGTTCGACGGATATCGCCAAGTTGCGGAAGCTATTCTTCTCCGCAGAAATTCAGGAGCTCAATTATTTCGGAGCGATAGGGGGATTTTCGGAGAAATAGACGGAATTTCGGAACGTCTGATAAGCTTGAGATGAGGTCAACCTTCATGAGCTCGCCCTCGGTGGACCACTAACGTCAAATGTATCCATAGAACACAAGAGTACCGTTGGTTGATAGCATCGGTCGGAGAACCCGAGAGTTTGGCCGAGGGAAGTGTTCTTAAAACGCACACAGGTCAGTTTCTCAGGAGTGACTGGCTGTGAAAAATTCAATAGGGATAAGCAGTTTCGAAAAATCGAGCAATATTCTCGAAGCCTCCTGAATCTTCGTGGGGAATCGAAGGACTCACCAATCTCTTGACGGGTCCGCTGCAAGAAGATTTCGAGACATCATCTGTATTAATGTCGAACGTTCAGTGATCCTGTGATGTTTTATACCTCGTGCTCATATAATTTATGTTTCTGAGTCTTGAGCGTGATAGACGTTGTGTGTGTGATATTTATTCAGTGTACGCAGGTGCAGGTGAGCAGGTTTTTAGGTAGCAGTAGATACAAGACGAGTTTTACGATTGCTAGCATCGGATTCCTTAGAGAGAAGGGGAGCAGTTCCCGGATCAATTGTTGAAGGGTTTTGTCCACGCGGTAGGGAGGGGGGAGGACGAACATCCCCAAGGACTCGAGATTGAGATCCGGGTCCTATGCAATCGTATTGCATTCCGATCTAGTTCACACAAATAGTCAAACTGTGAACATGTAGTATTTTCAAGGGAGAGACATGTCATGAGACCGGAATGGTCTGAGAACATGATGAGAATAATATGATATTATATTGCTGAGGTTGAATAAATAATAAAATCATAAGTAACAACGATTCCCTTGAATTCCTTGGATCCCGAAGTCCAAAAGCATGCTGGAACGAGAAATAAAGTCAGTTCTCAGCTCAGTAAGACCCCGCTCCGGTAAAAATTTCGATTTAGTAGAAAATTTCCCCGGTCCCGACCGTTGTCTACGTCTACGGGAATATTGAAGACTCTCGATTCGCTAACGCTCGGTATAGTCAATATTATAATTCAGTCAACACCTTTTGATTCCCCAGCCCATCGACTCAATGCAAAATATTGAACATTGAAACTCAGGGAAAGCTGGAATATGAGTCCGCGGTCGGCTCCGTGTAGTGGGGACTGTGAACCTTCCGAGTTTCTGATTGCGTGCGCAAGAAAAAACACGAGCGAGATCCCTCTCGCGAACAACTGAAGTCACGCGTCATGCTGAGGGCAGCTCCCCCGAGAATTCCTCCTCTTTGCCCGTGTCCTTTGTTAACATCGGAGACTACCGTATCGAATCGTATCGTATCGTAAGGGAAGGCTCTCAGCGGCAGAAACAGTCGATCCCTTTGGGCCTTCGGAAGTAACTTGTGGAGGTTTGATGGTCCTCATTGACTCAGCGCGAAAGCACTGCGCGATGTGAGCGTACAAGGTTTATGCACCAAACACCTCAAACATCCCGAGCGAGGAACTCTTGTTTTCACTTGAAGAAAGTCGCCTCCAAGTATTGCAATAGAAACAATTCCCGGGATCCGCAGCGGGCTCACTGAATCGAGCAAGCAGAGGGGGAAATGACGAAAAAATTATGGATTCGTTCTTGTCGAAATGACTCCTTAAGAATTCTGGGCGCTTCGAACATTTACTTGAAGCGAAGTCGCAGCGGACCAGTCTCAAGTTTGACCAAACTTGTTTCCATGGTGATGGAGTGTGTTCCACCGTGCGTCCGACGCCGATGAATTTTTCAGAGTTTAGCGAACCCGACCCCATAAAATCGGCATGCACTGAAGCTCAGCCATCTCTCGGAGAAATAATTGATCGCGAAGACTCAACAAGAGCACCGGCTCAACGGTTCGAGCCTATGAGATCAGCATGGGTTCCACGCAAATGATCCGAACAACCCCAAAAAAGAGAATATCGTATCAACGAACGAGTGAGAGTCCTCGAGAGGATTTTGGCGGCCGCTGTTCGGAGTAAATAGGAACGAGCACAGGGGATTGTTTGCACCTCATTCATTGAGTCGAGCACCGGCTTGACGGGATAGTCAAATATCTCATAGACTCATTAGGAGGGATGCTGCGCAATCGGAACAAGAAATCGTTTCCCCTCCTGCGCTTGGATTACGTTCGGAAGCCGGCGGAGCGGAAATCCCGAGGGGCGAATATTCCGATCAAGCTTTCGCTCTGTCAAGCGAACACATTGCTCACTTATGTGGCACCCTCCAACAACTCCCGAAACCTTCGGTCTCTCTTGCTCTACCTATTATGTTTCCCTTCCGAAAATTCCAGAGATCATCTTCCGACTTCGATTGAGTACCCTCACCCGAGCATCATGATTGGCGTCGTCTCAAGGGGCGCAGCCTGGATCGCATTCGCCGGAGTCTCGTCTTGATCCCGGACGGGCGATTGGCTCGTCAGTTGCAGCTGGGCTGTCTCCATGAGCGAGGTACAAGAAGGATCCGGTTCGCGGTTGTTAAGGCGGTGGAATACCTCGATCTTATATACATGAATTCTATGAAATGAACGTCTGAACTTCGAGACGTCCAGAGACTGCCTCGGAATCTCGAGGTTCCAGCATGTAGGCATCGCTGCGATTCGCTGACATCCAGATCACGTGCCCCAATCATGCAGGCGTCGAAGTCTATCACTCTCCCGATTCGATTCGATTCGCGAGACGGACCGCAGAGTTCACGCCTTGGTAGTTCATTGTCTCGAAGGCGCCTCGCCAGTTTCATTCGGGGATCACGACTCCTCCGATAACTATGTCATAAATGGGTCTCCGAGTTAGCCATGTAGCCTCCTGTCGGAGAGACTACAGTACGATTCATTCCTAGCGTCTCACCCATGGCTATATCGGATCATACCGATGTGACCGATCGAGATTCGAAGAGATTTTATGGGTGTCACCGCGAGCCTCTGACGGATTCAAAGGGACCGGATCTGTGCCGCAGTATGCTCACACGCAAGCGAATCCCTTGCTCTCGGCTCAGTCTCGGGAAGCGGAACGGGGTTAGTTGAGAGAAGCGAGCCACGCACTAGGCAACCGACTGAGAGTAGCGGATAGGTGAGGGGTGCAGGCCGACTTCACGTTACTTCACTCGACAACGTGGGCCAGCACGCACGAGTTTGTTCAACTTCACCCCCTAAATCAGCTGTATCGGGGTGATTCTGCTCAAAAGCGACCGGAAGCGGGGTCAATGGAAGCTATGGGATGCGGAACTTCGAAAACGGTCAGTCCCGTTGAAAATCCAAGGTTCAGGAACGACTCCATGAAACAACCAATTGGTGAGTTCCTACGGTATCGTTTCTGGTGTAGTCTTCGAAGAAATTCCCTCAGCTCATCGGATCTCCTGCGCTTATTTGATCGTCCTCAATATCCGACGCGACCCAGACTTTCCCTGCTTGCTTAGACAAAAAAAATGAGATTGCAGACTCCGACCAGATCCTCAGCTCAAAACCCTGCGTGCGCGACGCGGACAATCCATCAGAAGGTCCTGCTCGCCAGCTCGCACGACCGATATTGTCTATCAGCGGAGTCGGCTCTCTTTGTTTGGATGAAGGGAAGATGGACTTCTTGAGGAAAACGCGGATGTGGTTTAGAAATTCAGATTGCATGGAGCATCCGTGGGTACTGAGCCTCTGTTCCGAAATCGTTCGACTCCTTTCACCATTGTGGAGAACCCGCAGCTACAGGGCTCGAGTCGCGTATCGATTGCCCTCTCGAATCGAATCTGCATCGGTCGCTTTCGGAACTTTGCGAGCTTATTTGTCGTGCCGAATAAACGTGCGCTGATGGGTCAGGCTTGCAAAGGAGGATCTTTCCGCAAGGCTCTGCTCAGGATGAACTTCTTCAGAGGTCCTCTCCGCTTCTGCCACCGTGCGGGATCCGAAGCCGGGGAGGGGACCGGACGAGGGCTCTAGGGATCGCGTATTAGACAAACTTCCTTTCAGTCAGGCTCGTCTTGGCAGAAAGAGCCGAACCGCTTGCGATCGGTTCGGGACAGGGCTACGGGGAGCGCAGGATGAGCGCTCGATTCTCTTTACTTGTAAGATGGGCATGAAGTCCTAGATACTGACTGGGTTGTCAAATTTCCAGACAGACCGAGCTCCCCGGTGGCATTCGAAATTTCGCTTGAAGAAGTTTCAAACGGGGGCGGTACCGATCTGAAGAAACCTCCGAGACGCCTCGAACGCCTTGTGAACTCGGGACCACAAAACACGAACATAACATCGGAGGATGTCGAGGAGAAGCTCCGGAAGGCCGAGGAACGGCGTCAGGAGGTGAGTTCAATCAAAGATCATGATTCAATGATCCGTCGGCGCGGCGCCTTTTTCGACTTGCTCCTGTCCTTCTTTGAAAAATCCTGGAGACGAACCCAGGGTTCGCGAGCTTCGGAGAATATGGAGAAATCCTCTGTACGCGCCTCCAAAGGAGGACTGCGAGGTTTGGCGTGAGCAGCCTGATCAGCAGTGTCGCATCTGATTTACTCCAATGTTCCTGAATCTGGTCGACTTTATCGGAAAATGAGCTGTCGTCTTGACCGCTTCCAGATCATCGAGGAACGCATCAAGAACTCGCGGCTTCTCGCGGAGAAGATGAGAAAAACGGCGACAGATGCTGAGACCAATGACGGCTAGAGTCGTCGCGAGTCGAGACACTACCCGACTTCTTCTCCGTGGGCGACGTGAAGAGGTGAAGCTCCCAGGAGCTCCGTTCTCCTAAC